AGAAATGCCATTTCTTCTGCTTAGATGACGTGGTTTGGCGTTGGCTGGTAGAGGAATCAATGGGCCTGAGGGTAGGTAGGGCCCCTAGCTGCGGGGAGGGCACCGGGGTGGGAGTGGATGGGCTGTGAGGTCCCAGGTGAAGTCCTGGGCATGTTTGTGTCCCTTTATCGATGCTGCTCAAGGTGGCAGGTGTACACAGGGAACCGGGGGCCCTTGGCTAGGAGGCCTGGGTGGAAAGGAGATAGGAAGACAACCCAACTGCTTTCAGAAATTTCCAAAGTGAAGGTGATGGAGCTTAGGGTCTAGTGAGGGTCCAGTGGGAGGGGCCCTGTTTCCTTGCGTTGAGGGAGCTGAGCTGGGGCCCAGAGGCCTTGTCTAGGACACAGGGAGACTAGTGGCACATCCCTCCAGGGATTGGCTGACGATTCCATGCCCACTGGGAGCATGCTCCATAGAGGCTGATGGTTTCCTTATTGTTACTCTGCTCTGGTGCTCAGCTCCTCCAGGAGCAGACCCGACCCACAGGCCACGCTATGAACACAAGCTTCCTTGGAGGAGGCCCTGGGTGATGCAAACAGTCCATCACTCCGCTACCAGCCTCGAGGTTGGCGGCTTGATTCCACCTAAAGGCGCCTTAGCAGGCCTGGCGATCTGCTCCCCAGAGGTGACAGGCTTGAAAACCCCTATGCGGCCACAGTTCTACCCTGACACCATGGGCCACCATGAGTCAGCATGGACTTGGACTCGAGGGCCACCGGCGCCAGAGTCCCCGTGTGCTGCAGTTGGTTCCCGAGCTCAACAGCTAACCAAAAGGTTGGAGGCTGGAGTCCAACCAGAAAGGTGCCCCTGCAGAAAGGCCTGGTGATCTGTTGTTGCTGTCAGGCGCCATCAAGTTGGTTCCAATCCATAGCGACCTTATACACAACAGAATGAAGCACGGGCCGGTCTTGTGCCATCCTATGCCTGAGCCCACTGATGGAGCCACTGTGTCAGCCCGTGCAATCAAGGGCTTTCCTCCTTTCCACCGCCCATCCGCTTTCCCAAGCATGATGTTCAGGGGTCGGTCTCTCCTGACAATACAGCCAAAATATGCAAGACAAAGTCTCCCCATCCTTGCCTCTGAGGAGCACTCTGGCCTGACTTCTTTCAAGACAGATGGGTTTGTCCTTTTAGCGGTCCATGGTACGTTCAATCTTCTTCTCCAGCACCACAAGTCAAAAGCATCGATCCTTCTTCGGCCTTCCTGATTCAGTGTCCAACTTTCCCATGCATATGAGGCAATGGGAGATACCAGGGCTTGGGTCAAGCACACCTTAGTCCTCAAAGTAACATCCTTGCTTTTCAACACTCTGAAGAGGTCTTGTGCAGCAATTGGACCTAATGCAAGTTGTCTTTTGATTTCTTGACTACTGCTTCCAGGTGACCTGCTCCCGGGAAAAACAAGTCCACCATTGAAAGCCCGGCGGCACGTAGCCCTACTCTGACACACACACGGGGTCACCCTGAGACGGTGTTGGCGGGAAGTGGCCACAGATAATACAGGGGAAGGAGCCGGGGAGGTAGCTGATAGAGAAGGCTTCTGCCATGGGCCGCTGGAGCTTAATCCCGGGAGTTGGGAGGGAGCATACACCCCAGACTGATCTCAACAAGAGGAGAGGGAACGGGGGTTTCATCAGTCACTGGCTGCGAGCCGCTCTTTTAGGGGGTTCTTCATTTCCTAGCGCTTCTGGCCCGCAAGCCAAAGGTTCTCAACCTTCCGAATGCTGCGACCCTTTAATACTGTTCCTCATGTTGGGGCGACCCCCCCCACAACCATAAAAGTGTTTTCATTGCTACTTCATCACTGTGATTTTGCTACTGTTATGAATCAGATGACCCTCATGAAAGGGTCGGATGACCCCCATGAAAGGGTCGTTCGACCCCCAAAGGTGTCATGACTCACAGCTTGAGCACCACTGGCCTAGGCTGAGGGGGTGTGGGGTGGCCGCCCCCAGCATCCAGGGCAGGCGTGTCCTTGGTGCCTGGGACTCACAGACGTCTTGTGAGTCTTGTGTGTGCTTGAGCAAACGGGTTGGTGTGTCCTTGGCACATGATGTGCCTGCCCGCCCTGACCCCCCAGGATGCTGCCCATCACCGACCACCTGCTGCACCTGCTGGGGCTCAAGAAGACAACGTTCCGTCTGTATGCCGTGTCCATCCTCCTCCTCTCGCTGCTCTTCTTCCTCTTCCGCCTGCTGCTGCAGCTGCTGCAGCTCTGCCGCAGCTTCGTCCACACCTGCCACCGCCTGCGCTGCTTCCCCCAGCCTCCTCGGCGCAACTGGCTGCTGGGCCACCTGGGCATGGTGAGTGTGGCAGGAGCGTGGGGCAGGTCCCAGGGAGCCAGGGAGGGTGAGGATGGGCCTGCTGGCTTCTGGATCCACCATCGAGAGCTCTGGTGGAGCTCAGGAGCAGACCCTTTGTGTCAGAGTAGGAGACAGAGGCTCAGAGAGGGCAAGCCGTTTGCCCATGGTCACACAGCCGGGATGAGCTCACACTGACACTGATGGTAGCACCTTCACCCCCTGCGGTTCAGGATCTGGGATCCCTGGAGGCCCCCTGTGGATTTTGTTGTTCTATCTCCAATCCTCCTGCTAGCTTTCTTGCTTTACTACCAAGGTCCCAGGTCAGAGTTCCACTCCTCTCCTTGCATTTCAGTCTTTATCTCATGTGTATCACAGCTTTTAGGTGCCAAAGTGGGGGCATTGGTGATTCCCTGGTAGAATTCTCAGTCTCCATGCGGAAGACCTGGGTTTGAGTCCCGGCCAATGCATCTGATGCAGAGCCACTACTCATCTGTCAGTGGAGTCTTGTGTGCTTCTATGATGTCAGACAGGTCCCAGTGGGATGTCCAGACAAAGGCAGACTAGGAAGAAAGGCCTGGCAATTGATTTCCCAAAATCAGCCTATGGAAACCGTAAGGATCCTGGTTCAATCCAAAACCAAGCGTGGGGACCGGGCAGCCTTTCATTCAGTTGTGCCTACTTGAGGTCAGAGAACTCCACAACCAGGGCCCAGTTTCGTTTTACAATCAGAACTCCTTCAGCTCCCAAGCCTTGTGCTCAGTCCCCAAGCTCTGTGAGGCAGAAGAAGAGCTTCAGACTCGACATCAGATGGATCTGAACCCATGTATGATTTTGGGCAAGTCGCTTAACCTCTCTTGAGTCCCAAAAATTTAACCCATAACATGGGGAGGAGAAGAGGCGTATCCCAGTGACAGGGCCCAGCATTTGCTGAAAGAATGTGTAAGCAAGCAAACGAGTGAACTAGCTCCGGTGTCTCCTTCTCCGTGAGCCTCAGCTCTGACAGAGCCTGTCTGAACCCAAGGGAGAAGGTGGCCTTCTCACCCAAGTCTCGTGGTTTCCAAGGTGGGTTGGGTGGCTGGGGTCAAAACGGAGCCGCCAAACCTTCCCAGGCCTGGCCACTGCCTCTGGCACCACTGTCAAAGTCACAGAGCACAGGACATGAGAAATGGGTGGGAATTTATCTTCCAGGGAAGTTTTAGCAGAGGCTATGAGGTGGGAAAGTCAGCGTTGTTATGGGAGCCGGATGTCTAAGGGACTAAAGGGGGCTGTGGAACAGGCAAGGGAGTGGGGGTTCAAGGCCAAGCTAAGGAGCTAAGACTTTCACTGAAAGGCAGGTGGGGAGCCTTTGAGGAACATGGTCAGATTCAGAATTCCTCTGGGGCCAGGGCAGAGCTGAGACTGGACGCAGGTGCTCTGGAGGAGGCTGAACCCTGATTCAGTGGAGGTGGTGGTGGTGGTGGTAGGGAAGTGGGCAGGATGAGGCCCTAAGTGGGCAGGGGATGGAAGATAGGAAGGAAACTCAGGTGCAAACCAGCAGAGTTTAGTCAGCGGTAGCCCCATGGGAGGAGTCCCCCCCACGCCCCCCTTACTGTCCCTTCACTGTGCCTGCTTTCCCTCCACAGTACCTCCCAAATGAGGCTGGTCTCCGAGACGAGTCAAAGGTACTGAACAACATGCACCATGTGCTCCTCGTGTGGATCGGGCCTGTCTTGCCGCTGGTGGTGCTCGTGCACCCCGACTACATCAAGCCCGTGCTGGGGGCCTCAGGTAGCCACCGGGTCCCTAAGGAATGTAGGGATCATCAACTCGCAGGGCCCCACTGGGTTTCCAGGCAGGGTGAGCTCTTGAGAGGAAGGAAGGTGCTGTGAGGTGAGAGCAGGGGTTCACCGATCCAGATGCTTGGGGACAGCACGGCCGAGGGTGTGACAGTGTGTGAGTCTCAGGAGCTTTGAGAAGGATGCTTATTTTCTTGTGAGTCAGAGCCAAGCGTGTATGGAGAGTCAATTGTTTGCTCAAGATTTTCAATGGGTGTTGTCCAATCCCAAGCCACAGGGCTTCCAGCATTTGGGTTCTGACATGTGTCCAGGATCATGGAAACTCAGCCCCAAGCCTTCTTTCATCGCCTGGGCGAATCCTGATTGTCAGGGAGGGAGGCGAGCTTCTCCTGTCAGCAGGCCACACCTATCCCAAGACACGCACACCTGCCATTGTGTGCTTGGAAAGCCCAGCCTTCCACACAAAGCCCCAGGGGCCCCAGCATCCCCTGGCTCCCCAAGCAGACCATCCCTCCCCATTTCTGGAATGTTCTCTTTCTCCGGCTTAACCCTTTGGGACTGGGTGTGCCTGCATTTGGCTCTGCCTTCCCCTTATCTGGAACCCCCTTGGTGGCGGGGTTCTGGGTCTTCGGTGGGGCTTAGCATGACTGGCCACCCCCAGCCACATTGGGAAATGCGTGAGAGAAGGGACGGGAGGAAATTGCTCCTACATGCTAAGATCCATGACCCCCAGAGGAGCAGATCTGGGCTGGGCTTCTGGAACCCACCAGCTGCTCTAAGGAGTGAGGCTGAGCGTGTGACACCTGCAAACCCACAGGGGCAATTGGCAGTTGTACCCTGTCCTGTAGGGTGGCCATGAGTTGGCATGGACTGGAGGGCAGTGGGTTTTGGAATGTGGACTTCTTCTCGCCAAACGCTGACAGGTCAGGAGCCACCAGCGAAGCCCTCACGGTGCCTCTTCATCCTCCCATTATTGGGTCTGTGAAGAGAAGACGGTTCCCATGGAGCCAAGGGCAAAACTACATCCCAGGAGGGAGGGGCCCCAGATGGGGAGCAAGGCAGAGTCAGTGGGGCTGGGCTGGATCCAGCCTGCCGTCACTGTGGGGCCCAGCCATTCATGCCACCCCTCTGGGCCATTGTGAAATGGAACAGGCATGAAGACTCAATACTCTAATGAGGGAGGGTCATCCATGGCCACCTAGCCCATGCCACCTCCCTGTGGCCTTATCGGGCAGAGCAGAACTGCTTCCGTAGCGTCTCCAAGGCTGTCGGTCCATCTTTACAGAGGCAGACTCCTACCTGGGCCACCCCAACCCCCTGCTGTGGAGCCAATGCCTACTCATAGTGACCTTGGGGGACAGGGTAGACCTGCCCTTGTGCCTTTCCAAGGCCGTAACTCTTTACAGGAGGACAAAGCCTTGCCTTTCTCCCGAGAGGCTACTGGTGGTTTTGAACTGCTGATCTTTCCGTTAGCAGCCCAATACATAACGAGACCACCACGGCGCTTCCAGGGCTCCTGTAAAGCAGGCAGAGGCTAAATCAGTGTTCCTTTTTCTCTGCCTTAATTTTTTTTTGAATGGAGCATCTGGGCTTCTTTTCCTTAAAAAAAAACAACACCATTTCATTGCGGGTTCTTGCAACAATCCATACATCAGTTGTGTCCAGCACATGTGTACACAGGTGGCCATCATCGCTTTCTAGACATTTACATTCCAGTTGGGCCCTTGCTGTTATCTGGGTTTCTTTTCTCCCCTCTCAGGAGGCTGGGAGTTCGGAGGCAGGCGTGGGCACTAGGGGAGGCTCTCTCCCTGGGCTCGGGATGGCCCTGGTCTGAGCTGGCCCAGCGGGTGCTGCTGGGCTTGGAGCCTGGTCGCCTCGCTCACCTTCAGCTAGTGTCAGTCTCCCCCGCGTCTGCTGCCTTCTGCATCTAGCTTGCTGTGTTGGGGTCCCCCGAGGGGCAACGCTTTGAACCCCACTCAGAGGCACCCTGGAAGGCAGGCCTGGCGACCTGCTTTTGGAAGGCCAGCCCTGAAAGCCCGGCGGGCAGTTCTTCTTGCAGCTCACGGACTTGGCACCGGTGGCGACGGGTTTTCCTTGTTTCATCTAAGGCTTGGATGAAGAAGAGGGAACCATGGGAAGTATCTGAGCCTGGTAGCCGGGGGCCAGCTCTGAATCTTAGACAACTTTGAGGGACCTTGTCCAGGGCCCAGTGAGGAGGGACGTGAGGGCACCCACTGTCTCCTCCAAAGCCTGCGCTGTCAGCTGCCCTTCCCCAGGGCCTCCCTCTCTACCTTCTTGATAATTGCATGGTGCGCCTCTGCTTCTGTTTCCCACCCCAATGGGAAGCTCCTCAAGGGCGGGCCTGGAAGTGTGAGTCATGGGGAGGCTAGTTAGCATTGTTCAGCAGAGGGTAAGGGCAGAAGGGCAGCTGAGGAGGTACGCTGAATGGACCGGGAGTGGCTGGATGACGGAGTGCAGTTGGCCAATTCCCTGGAGAGTGTGTAGGCGGCTGAGTAACGTGGTAGGGAAAGGCTTTACCACGTGAGTCTCAGGTATTTCCTCCCTGGACCCCGCCCACTCGGCCCTAAGTAATTCGAAGGGGAACCCACTCTTTCATCAGCCCCGTTCATCCGTCCATCCATCCACCTACTGACCCACCCATCTCTCTATCCATTCCTCCCTCTGCTCATTTTTTCATTCATTTGTCCTTTGATGGATCGATCCATTCCTTCCATTGAAAAGCTAGTTAGCATCTGTATTTTAAAAGACCCAAACACCAAACTCACTTCCATCCGTCGAGTGGCTGTCGACTTGAGATCCTGTAGGACAGGGTAGAACCGCCTCCTGGAAGTTTCCGAGACCGTAACTCTTGATGGGAGTCGTCTCTCCCAAGGAGTGGCTGTTGGGTTTGAATTGCCGGCTTTGTGGGTAGCAGCCCAGCGCGTAACCGCTAAGCCACCAGGACAGAAGTGATCCCTGTGGCACCTGTTCCCCAGGAGCCTGTCGCTGGATGGATGGTCTCTGGAGGGGTTTCTGGGGGAGGGACCAGAAGGAGGCGGGCAGAGAGGGCAGCTGGTGGAAAGCGTCCGAAGAGAGAAAGAAGATGGTGTTGTTGAGAAGCTGCAAAACTTGGCGTGATGTTAGAATGTGGAGTGTGAGTGAGGTAGAGGAGAGAGGAAGTCTGGACAGATACAAATCCTGCTGGGCTTTGGACCCACTGAAAAAGGGGCGAAGGGGCAGCTAGGGAGGACGTGTGGTGGAGGAGATGCCCTCCTGGCTAGCATGTGAAACAGCCCGGAGAGGGTGAGCCCAGAGGCTGGGGGCATAGCAGGTGTCATTCCCTGGGAGAGGCAGAGAGGCCTGTGCTGGCAGAAGAGAGGTGTGGATTAAGGCAAGACTCAGGTGAGGAAGGTCATTCTGGGACCAGAGCACAACCTGGGTGAAGGTTTGAAGGCGGCACCCCATACAGGGGGAGAAGGTGGGTAGCTGGTGTTGAAAGATTGGGAGGGGAGACAGCCAGGAGTTCGTTAGGGTAGTGCCTTTCATACTGCGCTGACCTTGAGATTTTGTACAAGGGCAAAGGGAAGCCAAGGGAGGCGTTTGAGCAGAGGAAGCTCATGATCAGAAGGGACAGAGTGTCGGAAGGCTCTTTCTGGGACAAGTATAGACTGGAGGGATCGGGGGTAGGAGTCTCAAGTCTCATCATCTCCTCTCCCTCCCCAGCGGCCATTGCTCCAAAGGATGACCTTTTCTACGGCTTTCTGAAACCGTGGCTGGGTGAGCGAGGCTTGGTGGGCAAGGCTGGGGGCCTCGCAGGGCAGAGGGGCCAGGGCATGGAGCTTCTCGGAGGGTCTCTGAGTCCACCCTCCGGGAGGCCCTGACCGCTGTCCTTTGGGTCCAGGGGACGGGCTGCTACTCAGCAAAGGGACCAAGTGGAGTCGCCACCGCCGCCTCCTGACGCCCGCCTTCCACTTCGACATCCTGAAGCCATACATGAAGATCTTCAACCAGTGCACGGATATCATGCATGTGAGTTCCGGGGCCCCACGGGGAGAGTTTGGCTCAGGAGCGACCCTGGACCAGGCTGCCTGCTCGAGAGGGCAAGCTGTGGGGTGCCCAGATACCCTGACTTCCTTTCTCTGTGAAGTGACCTTGTCGTGGGGATGCGTCTTGGTCACGGTCAGCCAGGCTCATTTGGGGGGGCGGCTCTCTCCTTCAGGCCAAATGGCGGCGCATGGCGGAGGGCAAAGTTATCTCCCTGGACATGTTCGAGCACGTCAGCCTCATGACCTTGGACAGCCTCCAGAAATGCGTCTTCAGCTACAACAGCAACTGCCAGGAGTAAGTGAGGAGCCAGGGGGCGGCGGCAGAGGACACTCCCAGACATGACGCAACCCCAGGTTCCTGGGAGTGCAGCCCTGCTGCTTATAGGGTGGCACGACCGCTCCGTGTCTCAATCTTCTTATCCCAAAGACCTTCATACGGGGCTGAGCTTGCGCTTTGATCTAAGGGCAATGGGGAGCCGTGGGAGGCGTTTGAGCAGGGGAGGCTCATGATCAGAAGGGACAACGTGTCCGAAGGCTCTTTCTGGGACAGACGTGGACTGGAGGGAGGAGGGGCTGGAATCAGAAATCTGATTTGAGTCCTCAAATCAGAAAAGACGGGCATTGTCTTTTCTAGGGGTCACGGGTGAATGAAAGGAGACCAGGTGTGTCGGACCAGCGTAGGTGCTCGGTCAATGCCAGTGCCTGCCACTCCTTAGGGAAGACTATGTGGCCTTTGGACAGAGGTCCCTCTCTGAGCCACCGCTCTCTTGTCCAGTGCTTCTCTACCAGAGGCCCTGGGAGGATGAACTGAGTAAAAGGGTCGCCTGGCACAGGGTCGGAGCTCAGTCAGTGCGGGGTTCCCTTGTTCCCCCTGTCACTCTCTGAATCTCAGGGTCTTGGACTCAGAAAATGGACCTCCTCATTCCTTGCCCCGAGATATTGTGGGAGAGTGAGCAGCGTAGGCCTCTCTGGCTATTGTTGGTCTTCGGCACCATCCAGTCCGTGGTGACCCACAGCCACCCCGGGCACCACAGAAGGAACCCTGCCCGGGCCTGCCCCATCTTTACCCTTGTTCCTGTGCTCACGCCCACTGTGGTGGCCGTGGCGTCCGTCCATCTTTTGCACTGCCCCTCTACTTTTCCAAGTGCAGTGTCTTTCTCCAGGGACTGGCCTCTCCGGCCAATATGTCCAACGTATGTCAGATGAAGTCTTACCACTGTTGCGTCTAAGGAGCACTGCGGGCACACTTCTTCCGAGACACACTTGTTGCTTCGTTGGGCAGCCCCTGGGCTTCTCCAGCACCACAGTTCAAATGCATCGATTCTTCTTTGGTCCTCCTTATTCCCTGACCCACTTTCACCCGCCTAGGAGGCGATTGAAAGTACCATGGCTTGGGTCAGTCCCACCGTAGTGCTCAACGTTGGCTTCCTGCTTTGAAACACTCTGAAGAGGCCTAAGGTGCAGCGAAAAAGCAGAAGGAGATGGATTGACACCAAAGCTACAATGGTTGCCACCGTGGGAACAATTGTGAAAATGGTGCCAGACTGGGCAGGCTTTCGTTCTATTGGGCATGAGGTCCCTATGGGTCCGAACTGACTAGATGGCACCGAACAACAACCACTTCCACCACCACCACAATGGTCTTGTGCAGATCTAACCAATGTGGCTCATTGTTGGATCTCTTGACTGCTGCTTCCAGGAGCACGGGACACTCCGTAAATGCAAGTTTCCCTTCTTCCTCCAAGAGATCTTTGGAGAGTGTCTCCCCATCCCATCTCTGGGCCTCAGTGTCCTTCTTTGTCCAAGGGGGATGGTAATCCCTGACTCTCAGGGTTGTTGGAGGATGACGTGCTACAGCATGGCTGGGACACACCTAGATGTTCAGTGTCTGTTTACTGAATGAATGCATACAACCATCATTTTTCTAATTCATTCATTCATAAAGTTCACTGTGCACCTACTATGTGCTGGGCACAGTACTAGAGAATGGGGACATGATGGGGAACAGTAGGCCCAGCCTCATGATTCATATAGTTTAAGAGGGGACTGTGGAGACAATGAATGTTAAAATTTTAGCACATAGTAGGTTCTCAATAATAAGAAGTTGGCTTTGTTCTCTAGACCTTATAAGGGCACATTTCAGTTGGGTACGGCAGAAATGGCCTTCGTCTGTAATTCATTAATTTATTTATACGCTTAAGGAATATTTACTGAGAGCCTCCTCTGTGCCAGCACTGGATTAGGTGCTGGGAATACATCGATCATCAAGACAGACGCGCTTTTCTGGAACCTTGATTTTAATGAAAAGATAGTCACCATGAACAAGTAAATAAACAAACTGGAAAATGACGGACTGTGATAAGGGAAGGCGCCAGGCATATTTCAGGACAAAGGACAGATCCCTGCAACCCCACCCTAGCAATTTAACAAGAGCTTATTGAGGTATAATTTACACACCATACAATTTACCCATTAAAAGCATTATAATGCAATGCCTCTTCAGTATAGTCACAAAAGTGTGCAACTATGACCACTATTTGTTTTAGAATTTTTTTCATCAAAAGAAACCCATACTCTTCCCCTATTGCCCCATCCCCACTCCCTCCTCCCACCCCCCATTCCTGGGCAAACACTAACCTAGTGTTTCTGTCCCACTGGATCTGCGTAAGCTGGGCATTTCATTGAATCAGAATCATCTAACGTGGGACCTTTTGTGACTGACTTGGTTTTGTTGTTGAGTCAGTTCTAGCACATAGTGACCCCGTGACCACGCGACCAAACCCTCCCCGGTCCCACGCCATCCTCACAGTCAGTGATGTTTGTGCCCATTGCTGCAGCCACTGTGCCACCATCTCACGGAGGGGCTTCTCACGCTCAGCACACTGTTTTCAAGATCCATCCATTTCGTAGCAGTCGTTCATTCTTTTTCACGGGTGAATGCTATTCCAGTGTATGGGCATCCGCTAGACTTCATTTGTCCCTCCATCAGCGCATGGGCATTGGGATGTCTTCCACCTTTGAAGCATGCTGCCACCAACATGTGCGTGTGTGTTTTCAGTATGGACGTATGTCTTTATCTCTCTTGGGTATCTGTCTAGGTATGGAATTGCTGGGTTATGTGGCAATTCTATATTTAACTTCTTAAGGAGCTGCCGATACGTTGACAAAGTGGTTGCACCATGTTTGCCTTCCCACCAACAAGGCCCGCGCCTCCACTTCCTTGCCAACCAAGGCCATTCTCTCACTTTCTGACCCCAGTCCACTCGAGAGCGTGTGGCAGGATCTCGCTGCCGTTCTGGTTTGTGAATAACCATGTTGAGCATTTCCCCCCATGTGCTTGGTAGCCCTTTGGGTGTCTTCTGTGGAGATACACCTATCCTGATCCTTTGCCCATTTTCCATGGGGTTCTTTTATCTTGTTGTCCTTGGGCTGTAAGGGGTGTTTATATACTCGTGTCTCTGACCAGGCACATTGTTCGCAAATACAGTTAACCTGTGAAAGCTGGAACCTGTGGAAGGCAGGAACTGGTCTGGGAAGGGAAACTACAATCGTTTCCAGCAGCAGAGAGTGGTAGGGCTCAGGCTACTTGCATTCTGCCCAACATGCAACCCTTGTGAGGCTCAGACAGGGCAGGCTCATCTTCCCTGTCTTTTCTTTTATTCAGCAGGCTGTGGCGACTTAGCCTCACTGGGACAGCTCCCTCTCTGCCGAAGTCCTTGTTCCTCTCTGGGCTTCTCTGTCATGTGCCTAATGGGGAGAGGAGGCTGCCTTTGCTAAGTTGTGGGTCGGGCTGGGCTCTGGTCAGCGACGAGCCCTTCCTCATGGGCCTTCTTTTCCTTGGCAGGAAGATGAGTGATTATATCTCAGCCATCATGGAGCTGAGTGCCCTGGTGGTTCGGCGCCAGTATCGCCTGCACCACCACCTCGACTTCATCTACTACCTCAGTGCAGACGGGCGGCGCTTCCGGCAGGCCTGCGACACCGTGCACCGCTTCACCACGGAGGTCATCCAGGAGCGACGGCAGTCCCTGAACAAGCAGGGGGCAGAGGCCTGGCTGAAATCCAAGCAGGGCAAGGCCTTGGACTTCATCGACGTGCTGCTCCTGGCCAAGGTAAGGCGGGGCCTTGGGGATGTGGAGCGCTGTCCAAGGCCACTGGCTCATCAAACGCAGCCCCAACTGCACAACATGTTCCACGCCAACCTTCACATCGATCTAGGCTGGAGTCAGCTGCAGAACGTGCAAGACTCACAAAGATGGAACTCAAGCCCTTGAAGAAAGGTGACACGGGAAAAGATATACCCATTGCCTCCAGCGGATGCTGACTCGGGGTGACGCGAGTCAGGGTAAAATTGTGCTCCAAAGGACTCGCCTTTTCTTTGTTTCATTGTGTTGAAAAAAGTGTATCCCCAAACATACACCATCCCAACAGTTTCTACAAGCACCGTTCAATGGCATTGATTGCATCCTGCAGGCTCCTGGCCTTCCCTTTTCCCAAATCATTCCACCACCACGAAGAGAAACTCCATGCCCACTAAGCCAGAACTTCCCCATTCCCTACTCATTTCCACTCCCGGCACCCATGCTTTGTTTTCTATAAACAAACAAACAAACAAACAAAGAAACACACAGCTGTGAGTCAATTCTGACTCATTGTGACCCTGTAGGGCGGGGTAGAGCTGCCCCTGTGGGTTTCCAAGACGGCAACTCTTTAGAAGAGCAGAACGCTTCACCTTTCTCCCTGGGATGCTGTTGGTTTCCAAGTACTGACCTTGTGGCGAGCAGTCTGACACATCGCAGCTACGGTGTTTGCCTTTTTCTGACTGATGTTGCACTCAGCACGATGGTTCTTAAGGCTCGCCCATCGCACGGCATGCTCCAGAGGGTTCTCAACGACTGCCTTTATTTATTGATCTTCAGCAGCTTTATTGGCACTTCATCCACATGCCATACAATTCAGTCATTCAGTCACATCCAGAAGAGCTGTACAATTATCACCACATCCAGCTCTAGAACATTGTCTTCTTCCCTGGGACTCGTTGTTATTCATGGAATTGTTTTTTCCTAACTGTGGCAAAAATAGACACAATACAGCATCCTCTGGTTCTACAATGTCTACATATATAACTCAGAGCCATCGAGCATGCTCTTCGTGTTGAACGACCACTACTGATATCCTTCCCCCAATTATTCTACCTCATGAACATGAACACCATGCCCCTAAGCAACAACTCTTTCTCCTCCCTCCATGGCAACCATTCATGAGGTTGGGTTTCTTTTTCTTAGTAGTTTTCTTGATAAAATATTCACATATCATACATGTCCATGGTTACATCACTTTGAAAAAGGGTTGGACATACATCATCACAATCACAATCAGTTCTAGTGCTCCTTCATCCTGCTCCCATTCATTGGCTTCGCAATCCCTTCATTCCCGCCACCCCGCCACCTCCTCCTCATCCCTGATAAACCATTGCATCGGTGATTGTCCCCATGCATCCACGCCGTCGGTGCTTCACCAATTGGGAAACTCAAAAGAAACAAGAAACAAACAAACAAAACAGCCAGAAGGAAAAAAAAAATATTCAGAAAGGTGAAAATAGAAATAAAGCGTAAGAAAGAAAACACCTCCATCAACATGTGAAAGGCCAGAGAAGAAATTTCTGTCATGGAGCAAGCAAGATGCTTACTTGAGCCTAGAGCAAATTCAGGTTGGGTCAAGAGGGAGGTCAACTGACCAAGTATCATATTGCACCACGGTGCCATCCACCATCATGGAGCTTACAATCATCTCTGTCTGATCACGAAGCTGTTCGAGTCCCTGGCCTGTGGCTAGAGGGGATCTGCCAGAGGCTTACTTTGCCTAGAGAGTCAATGACTGAATGTTTACAAGTAGAGAGCCAAGCATTTCTTCCAAGGCACCCCTCCGTAGCCTCTTAACTCCCCGTGTTTTGGTCAACAGCCCGTTCTTTTCAGGGCAACGGTCACCCAGCGTGGTGCTTCTGCCGCCTGGCTGAGCCGCACTTTGGTTCTCCTTTGGGGCAGTCATGGATTCCAATGCTGCATTTACCCCTTACTGGATATTTGATCTTGGTCTGGTTACTTACTCAGCTTCAGGTCCCATATGTAGCCCCTAACGATAGGGTGCCCTTCACAAGGTGTTGTCGGGTACCCGGCATGCTGTGTGGTATCCGGAGCTGCTCCAGAAAGACGAATGCCTCTCTTCCTCTCCTTCCTGCTTTCCATCATTCCTGGACACTGCGTGCCTGCACTGCCCAGACTGCTCCCCCCCCAAGCCTGGCTCCGGAGAAAGCAGGATGTATCTGACTTTGGAGGGGCCCCTGGAGGCAGAGGGTGGGGTGTCCTCGAGCTCACTCTTCATTTCATCATCCTCATTCCAGGATGAAGATGGGAAGGAGCTGTCCAACGAGGACATCCGAGCCGAGGCTGACACGTTCATGTTTGAGGGTGAGGACATGGGGGGAGGGCCACCGCTGCCCGCAGAAAACACTTGGGCTGTCTCTGGGCATCCTTTGGTCAACGCTGCGCTGCGTCTTTCTGCAGGCCATGACACAACCTCCAGTGGACTCTCTTGGGTGCTGTTCAACTTGGCGAAGCACCCCGAGTACCAGGAGAAGTGCCGGGAGGAGATCCAGGACGTCCTGAAAGGCCGGGAGCTGGAGGAGCTAGACTGGTCGGTTGGGGGAAGGGTCTATTCTACCACACATTGACTGTGTGCCCTGGGACAGGTCGCGTCTGCTTCTTGGGCTTTCTTCAATTCTAACATAGGGATGGGGTGAACTTACTGCCATCCAGCGGGTTCCCACCCACAGTGCCCCTGTAAGGCAGGGTAGAATGGTCCCTGTGGATTTCCAAGGCCGAACATCTTTACGGGAGTGGAAAGCCTTGTCTTTCATCCACAGGGTGGCTGGTGGTTTTGAACCGTTGATCTTGTGGTTAACAGCCCCACTGTGTCACCACTCCACCACCAGGCTGCACTTGTTGGTTCAGCCAGTGCCCAGCACTTGCAGTTGCTCTGTGCACACCCCACTAGCTCATGTGTTGTAGAGCAGTTCTGGGCTCTGGGGGGCTTTCTTGGCCGGGTTGTGAACTACGTTGTGATGAGTCCAGCGTGGGGCTCGAGTTTCAAAGGAAAAGCATTATCGAGTCAGATTGGAATAACAGAATAAGTCAACAATGGACTATCACGTGGTGGTTACTAACCACGTCAGGTGACTACACTTAAAAGCTAAGGGTACTTACTTAGAATCAATGGAGTCTTCTTCAGTTTTTAATCGAAATGTAAAATTCAACTTGGATGGAAATATGTGGATCCTTTGAGCATCGATTCTTTGTTTAAACCCTCAAGGCTGTTCAAGTTCAACAGCCTTGCACCTTGCGTCTCCTAGCGCTTATGGAATCGCTGTAGTCGAGCTCTCCATATGCGGAAGTCAGCTGATGTGCAACCGTGTCCAGTGATGGCATTATCGGAGGGGACCGTTGATGAAAGAAGAACCGTGGAACAGCCAGTAACAGCATGAGCCCATAAGGATGGCGTCAGGAAAACGGAGCACTGAAGAAGAAAGGATGCGTCCAGGTGGTGTTGGCGAGTAATAAAGAGCCAAACCAACCAGGGGCCTTCCGGAAGAAATCCACCCACAGTGCTCCTTCAGACTCACCACGGCAAGCCTCTGGGCTCCCTCACTTTGGGCTCGTCACCAGGAAAGACCAATCGCTAGACAGAGACTCCTGTGCGGCGGGGTCAAACTGCTCCTTAGGGGTTTCTTGGCCATCATCATTATGGGAATCGTAGTGGTGGGCAGGCTCGAACCACCAACCTTTGACCAGCAGTCACAGGCTTCCCTGCTGGTGCCTCACAGGGTTGGGATTCGGTCCACAACCCTGAGCTAGTGGGGTGTGCACAGAGCAACTGCAAGTGCTGGGCACTGGGGACCTGCTGAGATTCCAAGAGTGTTATGGGTGTGGATTGGGACAAACCTGAATGCCAGGTTGAGACACTTGAACTTGATCTTGAAGGCAGTGGGGGGTTGTGAGATTCCCTGACTGCTTGGGGGTAGGAGTGTCAGTCACCTCAGCGTGGCACCAAGTCACACACCCTTCTCCCCAGGGATGACCTGACCCAGCTGCCCTTCATCACCATGTGCATTAAGGAGAGCCTACGCCAGTTCCCACCCGTCACCCTGGTGTCCCGCCGCTGCACGGAGGACGTCAAGCTCCCTGATGGGCGCATCATCCCCAAAGGTGCACCGTCCTCACAGAGAGGGCAGCTAGCTGGGTGTCCATTGGGTGGTGGGAGCCCCACTGTTGTGTGTGTGTGTGTGTGTGTGTGTGTGTGTGTGTGTGTGTGTGTGTGTGTGTGTGTGTGTGTAGGGAAATAGAAGTGGGTGAGTCAGGGTAAAAAGGAAGGAGTAGGGGTGGGGTGGGGCTTTGTGAGGGTGCAGGTGGGAAGGGTTGATTTCATTCAGTTGCTAGAAGTCTGCTGGGGGCCCAGCCCTCTCAGGGGGTGGTGTGGGCACCTAGAGGCCATGGGATGAGGCAGCAGAGAATAGGTATCTTTCATCACATGGGTCAGAGATAGGCTAAAGGGTGGGGTAGGAGCTGGAGTATCCCAAAATATGAACCCATGGCTTTATCTGGGGTGGGGGTGGGAGAGCTGCAGGTGGGCTACTTGGAGGAGGGCACACGAGAGAGGAGTCTTGGTGGTTGAAAGTTCAATAACATGGTTATAGAGCAGCTCCTTGGGGATTGTGAGAAGCTAACCAGTCAGGTGGAGGCACTTGAACTTGATCTTGAGGGCAATAGAGAGCCAGGGGAGATGTCTGAGCAGAGCAGGCCTGGTGTCGGATCTGTGACTGAGGACAACCCTGTGGGGCCAGCATCATAGCCAGAAAGAAGGCAGAAGGAGGGGACAGAGGTCTCATCGGGAGAGCAGGGGTGTGGAGGAGGCAGCAGCGGTCCCAGGGAAGGACAGACAAGACCTGGTGGGTCCTGGGAAGGCCCTGGCTCACCTTAGCCTCACTGCCTCCACTCCCCGCCCCCCCCCAATAGGAATCATCTGCCTGGTCAGCATCTACGGGACCCACCACAACCCCTTAGTATGGCCAGACGCCAAGGTGAGTGAGCTCCCCCCTTCCTGGGTCTTGGCTTCCTCCTCAGTCTCCAGGGGCAGGGGGCAGCTGGTCCCCTTTGCCCTGGCCCCATGAGCCTGAGTACCCCTTAATCACACCCACCCCCCAAAGACCAAATTCACTGTCCTCAAGCCCACTCCCACTCACCAAGACCCTATAGGACTGAGCTGAACTGCCCCTGTGGGCTTCCGAGACCATAACTCATGACAGGAGTTGAAAGCCTCATCTTTCTCCCGAGGGGTGGCTGGTGGGTTCGAACCGCCCACCCTGAGCTGGGTGCTGAGTATGGAGAAATGACCAGGCCAGACAATGTGCCCATCCTCAGAGAACTCGAAGTATTGCAGAGAAGATAATAAGCAAGTAGATACGAGAGGGTTTCCACAAATTTGTAGAAAATTTCCATTAGCTTTTAATTCCACTTTTCCACGAACTTTTTGAAGCCCTCCTGTAAATATGACGGTTTGGGGTTCTGGTGAGTGCAATGAAGGAGAGAAATAATAACTGAGGGGCAGGGGGAGTACTTCAGCTCAGATGGTCTGGACAGGCCTTGGCAAAGAAAGAGATGTTTGGGTGGAGATGGGAGGGTGTGAGGAGCAAGAGGAAGGGCATTCCTGGGCAGGGGAGGGGCAAGTGCAAAGGCCCTGAGGTAGGAATGAACCTGCAGTGCTCGGAGGAGGCGGCCCTTCTGGGGTTGTAGTGAGTCCAGCGGAATGAGGGGTGGGGTAGGGGCTAGACTTTGCTGGTGTGGAGAGTTGATTCCAGGGTGATGGGGCGCTCACCCCACCTGCATGCACATCCTGTTTAGCTTTGGGGGTTCTCTCCATCTCAGAGGTGGGGAGGGGGGAGAGGCCAGGTTGAAAGGGCTCAGCCAGCTCCTAGACACCCCTTGGCTCTTTCTGCCCCGCAGGTGTACAACCCCTACCGCTTTGACCCTGAGAATCCACAGCAGCGCTCACCATTGGCTTATGTACCCTTCTCTGCGGGACCCAGGTAACTCCTCCACCTTCCCATCCCAGTACCAGCCAGGCGTGGGAGGATCCCAGGCGCTGGGAGTGGGGTGAGGTAGGAGGCGGGAATATGCCCCACAGGAACAGAGCCCATGCCCCGCCCCAGAGGGCTCTTGGCGCCCACTTGGTGCCTGGATGTTGCAGAGGTCCCCGAGTCTGATTCTGCAATAGCAACACCTACTGTGTGTGCCAGACCCCCGAGTTCTGGTTTCCCCTGATATGGAATTGGCACCAATTGGGCACTCGAACTCCAGACCCCAGGTCCCTTTATTTAGGAATTCCTGGGATCCTGTTGTCATCCTTACCCATTCCAAGATGGGAATGGTAATGCCCCTCACAGTTTGGAGCGTGAGGCTTGAGCCTTGGGCGGGGGGGTCCCCGTTCTTCCAGGAACTGCATCGGACAGAGCTTCGCCTTGGCCGAGATGCGCGTGGTGGTGGCGCTGACGCTGCTGCGCTTCCGCCTGACTGTGGATCGGTCGCGGAAGGTGCGGCGGAAGCCCGAGCTCATCCTGCGCACGGAGAGCGGCATCTGGCTGCTGGTGGAGCCGCTGCCTCCGCGGGTCTGATCGCGCACCCTTGGGTTGCAGACACTGGCCCCGCCCCTGGAGGGCAAGGCTCCACCTTTGAGCAACTTGATGGTTCAGGGCACGCCCCTCAAGGCAAGGCTCCGCCCCTGGGGCTTGGCCCTGCCTCCCGAGAGAGCACAGACAAGGCCTATGGAAGAACGAGGCTCCACCTTTGCGAAGCCTGATGGTGCAGGGCAAGCCTCTCAAAGCAAGACTTAGCCTCTTGAGGGCCTGACGCCATCTCCAGATTGGGATCGGCCCCGCCCAATGGACTATGTGGACATTAGAAGCGAAGGCCACGTTCAGAGGCTTCATGGTCCCAGGCCCCACTCGTCGAGCCTTTTCAGGGCTTAAGTCCTGCCTGTGGGAATCAAGCCACGACCCTTGGGACCCAAGGCCAGTTTCCAAATTCAGAACGTAGAAGCTGGCGCGGGGAGTCTGAGCGCTGGCCTCAGGCCCCCACCTTCCTCCCTGGCTGGGCCGACACCCAGTATGTTTGCTTCTGGTTTGTCTTTGCCTATAAACTCTTGACTTTCGGGGACAGCTCTTGAAATCATTTGTTCTGTCAAGAGATCGTCATGCACTAAGGTGTGGCGCACGGAATAGAGTTAGCTACTGCTTTGGGGGTGAGGTCAGGAGTTTGGTTTTCGCCGGGGTGGTGGAGATGTCCTGTGGGCAGGGGAATGGACAGGTCTGGAGTTCTAGGCTGGGGATATGTGCGTGGGAAGGCTGTCTCGGGGTGGCGCAGGGCGTGGTTTAAGGAGTGGATTCTGTAGTCTACAAAGTTGTGGTTCCGTGTCATTGAGTCAGCTCGACACATAGGGACACTGCACAGCAGAACAAAACGTTGCCTGGTCCTGCGCCGTCCTCACAATGGTGGGCTATCCCCGAGCCCACGGCTGCAGCCACTGCGTCCATCCATCTCATTGAGAGCCTTCCCCTCCTTCGTTGCCCCCTCCATTCTATGCAACACGATGTCCTCCTCCAGGGGCTGGTCCATACCGACAACATGTCCAAAGTATGTAAGAGGAAGCCTGTGCATCCTTGCCTCGAAGGAGCCGCTCTGGCCTTATTTCTCCCAACACAGATCTCTAAAGTTAGCGCAACACGAAACACAATTTAGAATTGAAAGAGCATTTCCTGTGCGTCCTTCCTCTATGGTCTCATCTCATTCTGAGGCGAGCCCCTTGGACAGAGGTGGACACTGAGGCCCATGCTGGAAGTTACTCACCTAGGCCCTCAGTCCTACTGCTCCATCTGCCTCTAGCCTCCCTTTGCCTGTAACGGGGCGTCAGCAAATTTAAGGTGCAATGGGGGCCGGTGGGGGGCGAGGGCGGGGAGTGGGCACAGAGGACCTGCTCCAAAGCCTGGGAGGCAAGATGATACTGGAGCATCGGTCTTGGGGCTCCCCCTGGTGGTATGTTCTGGGATTGTCAGCCGGTGTCGTCCCTACGGACACAGGTGTAGCTAGGGTAAATAGCACCTATGGCCAGCGCGGCAATCGCACTCCCAGTCCAAACATTGGACATCCGTCTCTTAGATAAGACTTTTAAAATTGTATTAATATTAAAAAAATCATTTTATTGGGGCTCATGTAACTCTTATCACAATCCATACATACATCAATTGTATAAAGTACATTTGTACATTCGTTACCCTCATCATTCTCAAAATATTTCCTCTTCACGTAAGACCCTGGCATTAGCTGCTCATTTCCCCCCCTCCATCCCTGCTCCCCTCTCCCTCATGAACCCTTGATAATGTATAAATTATTATTTTGTCATATCTTACACTGTCAGACGTCTCCCTTCACCCACTTTTCTGCTGTTCATCCCCCAGGGAGGAGGCTATACATAGATTCTTGTAATCGGTTCCCCCTTTCCACCCCACCTTCCCTCCACCCTCCCGGTATCGCCACTCTCCCCACTGGTCCTGAAGGGATCATCCGTCCTGGATTCCCTGTGTTTCCAGTTCCTATCTGCACCACTGTGCATCTTAGATAAGTTTTAAAACCATTCCAGCTCCATGGTACAAGTCAAGCCCGCCACGCTTTCACTGACCACACATGGCAAAGCCAAACTTCAAACTCCCTGCCGTCGAGTTGGTGCCCACGCAGCCTACCCTATAGGATGGGGGAGAACTGCCCCTCCACCCACTCCGCCCCAGGGCTCCTTACAGGAGAAGCATGTCCTAAAAATGCTAGCAGGCCTTCTTGGCTTTCCAGGCCCCCCAACAGCGTAATAGGCTACGCGTTGGTCTGCTGACCAGTTCGAAGGCGGCAGCCGCTCTGCGGGAGCAAGCAGAGGCTCGCACTCATAAAGAGCTCCAGCTTTGGAAACTCGCTCGGGCAGCCCTACCCCGACCTACAAGGTCGCCACGAGTCCGTCCCAGGCGACGCAATGGCGGTGAGTTTGCTCCTTCTCTGCTTGCATGGTGGACATCGGCCTTAAGTGTTCTTGCGCCTTAAGAACACCGTGCCGGGTTCTCCTCTTCCTGCTTCCCGCGGAGTGGCTCCGGACTCCGCAGGACCCCGGGGGGTGGGGGGTGGCTTCCACCCCAACGGCTCCCCCTGCGGCTGCCCGCACACAGCCTGCCCTGCAAGGCCGCTGCCCAGCTCACCTGCCCAGCATCAGGCGCCGCCGTGGGGTAGAGGTGCCGCCGGCCGGGCTAGGGGACCCCTTTCAAGCGGGAGCGCGGTAAGAGTGGCCACGGGCCTAACTGGGTGAGAAGTGGGCCTCCTTGGGGCTGCTTTGCAAGGTCTTTTCTGCTCATTGGACAGAACTAGACTCAAATGAACCCCCTCACACACATTTGGCAAAACGAAACAAACACACCCAAACTCACTGCTAGCGAGTGACCCCGTAGCAGCGGTTCTCAACCTGGGGGTCGAATGACCCTTTCACAGGGGTCGCCTAAGACCATCGGAAAACACACAAATATTTAACAATATATAATTACATCTTGTTTTGTGATTAATCACGATGCTTTCATTA